TGATCAGGATTTAGACCAATGTAACTATGAACTACTTATATTCTTAAGCTCAGGTGATCTGCAAAACACGCCGGGTAGGGGTTCCGTCATAAAACTTCCGACCCTCAAGTCTTATTTCGCTCGTGAATATAACCAAATTATCTATTAAGGCGTACTATACGTTAAGTTACAATAGAACCTGATAACCTCCTTTTATATGGAGGTTATATTTGTTAAGTGGCCGTCCCGATCACACCGATAGACTCGTACGCAGCGGAAGCTCGTCGCTTTCACTCGTCTGACCGCATGCAGCCTTCACGGGCCTTGTTCGGGAGCTGCTCGTATCACCGGGACTCCGAGTCTGCTCCTTTTCTCAACCCTTTGCAGCCCGTTTTAGTTCAATTTAAAGCAACAGTGTTTAGCAATAACAGAGAGATCAATTTCAGTTTCTTTAAACAAGAACACATCTACATAAAGAACTGAAATACAATAAACAGAACATAAGGAACAAGATACTCCCTTTTAACCGGACGATCTTCGAAGAAGGACACGAAGTCCGGCTCAGATTATCCTTGAATCCGGCACCCTCGGTAAGTAGCGGCTCGGTGGCGGTCAACGGACGGCAGCCCCGGTTCCTCGGCCCAATCCCCGGGCTGCACCTCACACACGGCCACGCACCCGGTACTCCGTCGCAAAGCCTCGCCTTCCCACGAACGAGCTCGCCGGAAAGCACCCCGCAAGGGCTTGAACCGGCGACGGGAAGCTAGGCGACGAAGACGGCACAGCGGCTATACTCCAACGGCTCTCACGGTGACACTCACGGTGGTTCTCACAAGGTAGTCACAAAGAACAGATTGAGAGATAGAGATCGATCGATTTTTAGTCTCACAGAGAGAGAGATATTTCGGCGCAGCAGGTGAGAGTGGAGCGTAAGAGGAGTTAGGTTAGAATTAGGGTAAAGGAAGATGAGGTATTTAAGGTGTAGGATGGATGGTGTGGATTTATTCCCTAAATCCAAGGGTCCAAATTAATTCCTACCAATAAGTGTGTAAAGGGCCAGGCCCAGACGGGAATGGGCCGGGGCTTCCTTGGGCCTGAGATAGGGTAAGTGGTTTTGGGCCAAATATCCCAACATTTCATTTGGGCTTATATGTTGGGCTTGATGGAGAACTGGGTTTTGAATTGTTGATCCTAACAA